GGGGGGTTATTATTGCTGCTCTCCCTGCTCATTCATGACAGGCTGCATGGATGGGCAGGGAGGTTTTTGCCCAGAACAGAACCATACCGCCAAACCAAACTTTATGCTAAGTATCTATCATCTTGACGATAGTGGTCCTGACAGAAATTAAGCATTAGCGTTAGTTCTGGCAGGCCACGTGAGTCGAGCTTGCATCAGCTGATTCTCAGCTGATCACATCTACCTATAGGAATACGACACCGATCGTGGCATTCCTATATAAGCTCTATTCAGTATTATTCAGCTTGCTCAGTAGCAAATTACCCTCCTCCAGCCCCAGCTCCTCCTTTCGCCACAGTCAGGACTTGGCTTTCTGATATTCCTTGCTAATCAGACTCCTTTATCTTGAATAAAGTGTTACACTTAAATATCATTGAGTACATTAATGATATCTGCCTTGTTCTGTTCTGTTAACCCTATGGGGGTTATTATTGCTGCTCTCCCTGCTCATTCATGACAGGCTGCATGGATGGGCAGGGAGGTTTTTGCCCAGAACAGAACCGTACCGCCAAACCAAACTTTATGCTAAGTATCTATCATCTTGACGATAGTGGTCCTGACAGAATTATGCATTTTTCGAACCACCAAGCAGGAGAGCATGTTCTAGTACGCCCCCAAAACAAATTCAAGACATTGTAAAAGAGCATAATAGGACCCCTTTAAGTTACATTTCACATTTAAGTATTGTAAAGATAGCATTAGATAAATATGAGGACCTTATTTCTATAATTGTGTGTATATATATATATATATATATATATATATATATATATATAAATAAAAGATAGCAACTAGAACTTCTGAAATGTAGTTTTAAAAAAGGTAACTTGTATAATTCCAATGACTATAAATATAAACCACAACTGAAGCATATGTTAAGCAATCAAAATGTGATGTATTATTTTAAATCAAAGAATGCAAAACAGACAACTCTAAGTGCCAAAATAACTTTTTAATGACACAAAGACAGACACACATTTCAGTCAGGAATTGTGGCATTCTGTGCAAACAGCAAAAGTGTGCTTTTAATGCTGATACAGGCCCCTTCCATTTGGCAAAAAACACTTACTGTAGCTTCCAAGACACACTACACCTGCACCATTATTTATCAGCAAAACATTTCACGCACACCAAGCACTTACATTTCACATACTTCAGCAACTAACTTACTTTAACTTTCACAAAACACATACAAAGTCAGTGAGATTCATCTCCTGCACCCAGTGCTCTTCAGTTCTCCGAATTGCATTTGCTCAGAAAGTCACAAGTTATCCAACATGGATGAGTTACTTCATCTGACACTACTAGAAAAACAACAGAAGCTGAACATATTCAACTTGAGAAAAAAAAAGTGATAAAGAAGTGCACGCATCCTTCATTAGGACAAAGATCAGGCACAAATGCCAAAAGTCTTAAAAAATAAAGTTTTAGAGGAGAAACAGCTTTGAGATTATTGCACATAAATACAGCTAAAAAGAAAGAGCTGAAAGGAACAACACAGCCAAACAAAAAGAGATTTATGTGCACATATAAAAGTAAAATTAAATACTCTAAAACCGAAATGCATCAAAACATTAAAACAATGTGAACTTTATTAAAATTATATTAAAACTAAATAAAATATATCAAAATTGTCACTTAGAAAACATAAATATACATTTCTATTCACTTTTTACCTATCGCTGAATATTAGCTACATAAAAGCTTGTATTTGTAGGTCATATTTAAAACAAATGTGTTCATCCAAATACAAACAAATGTTTCTCAGTAAAACTCAGGTATCACATGCGTGACCTCTCATTTCAAAGCAAAACCTCTGAATAAACTGGCAGTAGATGTGGCCATTTATTGCAACTTCCCTAGGTCTTCATTTCAGATCCTCGGAGTCTTTTTTCCTCCAGTTTTAACTGGTTTTAAATCAGAACTGTCGTTGTGGCAGCTGTAGAAAGCTACAGTTTCCTTGCTACATTACGGGGTGAGATGATGTCATAAATTGTGACTCCAGTGTGTTTCGGAGCTCAATGATGCATCCATCAGTCTGTTTTTAAATGTATCAGAGCTTTGACATCCAGTAGTCACCAGCTCATCACAGTTGTCCATGTGGTTATATAGTCTTTGTTCACTTTTAAAACAAGTTTTCCTGTATTATACCACCATGTTGTGGGTTGTCATCACGGTGCTGTTACTTGCGGGACCTCAGAACTGCTCCGGGACTCCAGGATGATCCAGGCGCTCTGCTGAGATTTTTGTAACGCTGGCGAAGCACAAAGTCAAAGTTGGCAGTGGTGCACATGGCATAGAACACGTTGGCTTTGTCTGGAATCAGCAACTCTGATATAAAAAATGACAGTGACAGAGTGCTAAATACATTAGTTTTAAAATAGCATATGCAATACATAAGTCAAAAACTTAAACACACTGAACTTGTGTATTGCATGATCATAAAAACCTTGTGCTTACACCTAAACACCTAAAATCAGTGTTATTATCGTTAAATAAATTAAAAAAAATTTTGGTCATTTAAATAAAGCTGAATTAAAATATAATGTTAATATATATATATATATATATAAAACTTTTAAAAAACTTAAATGAAAATTGTTGCAACTAAGTGAAATAAAGTGAAGTTGAAGTATTAAAATTACTAAAACTAATAGTGCTGTCAAACGATTAATCACGATGAATCGCATCCAAAATAAAAGTTTTTGTTTACATAATATATGTGTGTGTACTGTTTATTTATTATGTATATATAAATACACACATACAGTATATATTCTGAAAATATTTACATGTATATATATTTATATTATTATATTTTGCATTATATATAAATATATTTAATATATAAACATAACATATTTTTCTTAAATATATACATGCATGTGTGTGTATTTATATATACATAATAAATATATATATACACATTAAAATCTCATATATTATGTAAACAAAAACTTTTATTTTGGATGCGATTAATCGCGATTAATCGTTTGACAACACTAATATATACATATATATTAAAAACTAATAAAAATGACAAACACATATAACAAAATAACAAAAATAAAACCTAATTTAAAGTATTAATAAATACATTAATAGTATATAAATAATACTAAAATAACACTTGAAATTCATTTGAGTTTCAGTGTTTTTTATGGTCATACACAGAATCAAGAAGCTCACCTTTGTCATTAGAAACCACTTGTGTGAGACTAAAGTCTTGGCAGTTCATCTCCTCCAAGTTGTGTTTCTCCAGAGCTCTCTGAATCACCTGAGCTGTCTTGTCCTGACTGGTTATCTAAAAATAAAGAGATGATAAAGTTTCAAGACTTTAGATTTGCTGGGGTTGACAACTACGTACTTGGTAAGCAGGGCTGGGTTTTGACACAAATTTCACGATTCGATTCTCATTCACAAGCTTGCGATTCTATTCGACTACCAATTCGATTCGACATCGATTATTTTGGATATATATCAGGTACAGTACATGCCAAAATTTCTCAAGGAAAAAAAATCTCTCGACTAATACTGTAAAATATACATTCAGTTGGTACTAGTCTACATTACTATAATATTGAAGGTTAAAATTGACTGATTTAAAATTACACTAAGTTTAAAAATAATAATAATATTTCTACTTCAATTCGGGTTTTTTTTTATATAAACATAATGGTGGCCGTCATAAAAACTTGATGGATTTATTCAAACATAAATTAAACATTGAAGAACAGTAAAATATATAATGAATATGTTATATGGAGCATATATTTAGCAAAATGCCCCTCTCTACAGTTTATTTTTCTATCTGACTAATGAGTTTATGGTCACCGATTATGTTTTACTGAGGTAAATGTGACGTTACGTGACATTGTTTACAAGCCGTTATATTGACGTCTTTGCGCGGCTGAAACACTGATTGAGAGATTACATAAGACAGGATACGGAAACTGAAAACAGACTAGACTACTCGATTCTTGAGATTTAAGAATCAACATCTTTCCATAAAAATCGATTAATATCGAGATATTGATATTTTTTACCCCGCCCTATTAGTAAGCTAGAGACTTATTGCCACTATAAATATGTCAAATAAATAAATAAATGAAAAAGATGAGAAGCATGGACACCGCAGAGTATAAAACCTAGTGAGCTTCTTTTCATTGAAACAATATGAAGGCTACAGTGATTGTACTTACTTTTCTGCGCTTCTCAAAGTTGATGAGACCCCCCTGTGAGCACAGAGAGTTTATCATTTAAACAAAGAAACGTCAGTGTGGGAAATGAAACAAAAAAAAACAACTATGTATATGACATATATTAAGGTCAGAAAAAAATTCTCACCTCTACATTGTCACGTAGTGCTGTGTCCAACATGGTGAGAACGGTCAGATAAGTGCCCAGGTACGGCACCTCACCACTGGAGGGGGTCTGTCAGAAAAACAAAATTGTCAGGCAAAAATACAGTAACAGTTTGGGGTCGGTCAAGATTTTTATATGTTTTTGTCTCTTATGCTCACCAAGGCTGAATTTACATGATTTAAAAAAATACAGTAAAATCAGTAATATTGTTAAATATTATTACAATTTAAAAGAACGGTTCTCTATTCTAATATATTTTTAAATGTCATTTGAGCACACACATCTTTTCCAAAAAAGCTAAAAGTGATTTATGCTGAGCATAAATATCTCAGTTAGAGGAACACGCTGTCTTTACTGGTGATACAAGCAACCCCGTCATACTGTGTCAGCTAGCATTACGGTAATACCCTTTTGGGTCTTTTAATTAATGAGTTGGCAGATTCAGATTTAGACAGATTTTCATATCGAAAATGAAATTACTTGAGTCAAACTAGACCAGCAAGCAAATGAGCCAGTGCAGATGCATACTTCCCAAAAAGGGCAGTTATTTCCCAGAAACAACAGCTTAATAATATTTTTAAAAGCAACTTATGACAGTGGCCTTAAATAAGCCAAATGTACTACTTTCAGCAGGGCCTTGTTATTATGACAAATACTAGTGATTCTTACCATGTGCTTAGATGTAGGACTGAGTCTGGGAGACTTAGAAGCGGTGTGAGTGTCTACATCAGCTGCCTGGTTTGCTTCCTAAATCAATCACAAAAAATTGATAACATGACATTTGGCATACTAAAATGCAAGCAGTGAAACTGATTTAGATAAACATATGATTGAATACAGAGTATTAGATACACTGAAACAACTGACCTAGAGAAACATTTACATAAATCACTTTAGAAAACATTCAAAATCAATCTCCCACACCCAAAATAATGCCACAATTCAAGATAAGTACAATTACTTAACAGAACATAATAAAAGATTGAGGAAGGAGGAATGGGAGAGACTATTATTATGAGCCGGCACAGATAAAAACAATGAATGTTTTGTTGTTATACACTGGATACTAAACACTGCAGGACATTACGGGATGTTGTGCCTCCATAATGGTTTCCTTGCCAACAAGATGATTTATTTTTTAACCTCAGCCCTACTGACTTACTCTTTGTATGTGAGCTAAAGTAAAATAGGGTGTGGAAAATATTGAATGTTGCCTGGTAGTGTCTTTTAAGATAGTAAAAAGGACATAAAAGCAGCCATGGGATGAGATAATATCATGATCTTATCAGAGATTCAACAATGCATGTGCACGGCAAATGCATAACATTGCTCTCTGCACTTTTATATATTTAAGTTTTTGAACCGTTCGTTTTGTTTACAAAGCTTCGGTACATAACGGCACTTACGTCTGTCTTACGAATGTACTGCAAATGCTCTAAAGAAAGCTGAAGGCGAACAGAAATGAGATATACAGCTCTCTGTTGCAGCGCGTCAGTCACGCTCGTCAGGAAAGTGAGTGAAACACACACAAACACACATTTTTATCAAATAATATGTCATTAAAAGCGGTTCACTTCCGTGATTTGGTACAATTGCGTTCACATCAACAGCGAACCGTTCTGGAGTTCACATGAACCGTACCCCAGACCACCCTTTTTAAGCGGACTCGGGTATGGTTCAGGGGTGTGCACCCGAGTTCGGAAGACAGCGTTCACATCATCCAAACGAACCGAACTCTGACGTCAATCGAAGCCGGGTGCGCACCAAAAGTGCTAGTGTGAAAGCACCCTTAGGGTGTATTCACACCAGGAAAGTCCTCTAGTTCACTTCCATTGGTCCGGACCAAATACAATGTTGATTATTTTTGTTTGGTGCGGTTCACTTTCACATTGCCCTTTTAGCAAGTAAACCAGAAACTGTAAACCACTCGTGTGCTCAAAGTCATCCATTCATTGGTTCATTCATTCAACCGTACCAGAGTTCGTTTGGAAGTGGACCGAGACCACCTCTTCAGCTGGGTTTCGGTATGGTTGTTTGGTGCACATCAGAGTGCGATTGCTGTATTCACACCTGCCCAAAAGATCCGCACCAAAGGGGGAAACGAACTTGAGTTCGATTCAATCGAACCAAACAAGACAGGTGTGAATACACCCTTAGTGGGCATAAGAGACTTCTATCAAAAACATTAAAATCTTACTGACCCCAAACTTGAATAAAAGTGTACATGTAAAATTTTAGATTAGAATAGACAACAGGTTTAAAACATGCAGGCAAATCTGTGAAGCATACCTCTACAAGTATCTCTCGATTGACCAGCACACAGTTCTCATCAGGAAATGTGTCGCACAGGAGATCGAAGGCAGCCATACTCTCCCTGAAATGACATATATTATCCATTTAAATTTAATACCATGTGTTGTGCAAATTTAATATGTGCACTACAGGTTTAGCAACTATTCATGTCAGGATCAGAAAACACTACCTGCTGATTGCCGCCCAGGTTTTCTTTAGCCGGTAAACAGCATTGCACTGAAGAGCAGATAAGATGGCTCTCAGAGAGGAGAAGTTTCTCAACTGACGGCACTCCTGTAATCCAAAAAATAATAACTAAATATAATGCCTTGTGTTTAAGAAGAGGAAAGAAATATTAACTTCACAAATTTACACTGGATCAAATATGTAACAACACAAAGTGATAAGGAAATCTGGTTACACTTTACTTGAAGGGGTGTGCATAAGACTGACATGACACCTTCATAATCATGACATGACACCTACATAATCATGACATGACATGTCATGACTATGAAGGTTTTTTATGCATGTTTATGACAACTGTCATTAAGTGTCATTCGCTCAGTTATGT